GAGTGATGACCCTGTGTCCTGTGGCTGTCTTCTCCTAAAGGTCTTTGTCGTGTTTCAGATGCCTGTGAGCTCTTCAAAGCTCTGGGCCTGACACAATCTGCTCCACAGCATCTTTAAGAGCCACGTCCCCCACTCCCATAGTCCTCCTGTCCCGTAGTCCCACACAGCCCCGTCCTTTAGCGCACACGCTCATAAAGATAGATGCACATTCCAACAGCAGAGGAGTGGCCGTAAACACCAAGACATGTCACTGTGTGCTTTAAGGTGAGGCCTGCCACATGTCCTGGACCAGAGGAGGAGAGAAGGGCTAGAGGATGACCTGAGGATGACCAGAGGATTGTCCTGTACCAGAGGAGGAGCACAGGAGAACCAGATGAGGAGCAGAGGAAGCGAGAAGGACTAGATGAGGAGCTGAGGAAGAGAAGAAGAGAACCAGAGGAAGACTAAAGAAGTAGCAGAGGAGGAGTGTAGGAGGAACAGTGGAGAAGCAGAGGACGATCAGAGAATGACCCAAACCAGAAGAGGAGAGGAAGAGCAGAGTGTCCTAGACCAGAGGAGAACCAGGGGAGAAGCAGAGGACCAAAGGAGGACCAGAGGAGTGTCCTGGAACTGCCAAATGTACAGGACCAGAGGAAGAGAAGAGGAAAGGAGGAGGAGAGAAGGACCACAGGATGACCAGAGGAGGAGCAGAGGAGTATACTGGACCAGGATCAGAGGAAGCGAGAAGGACCAGATGAGGAGCAGAGGATGACTAAAAGAGTAGCAGAGAAGGATCAGAGGAAGACCAGAGGAGCAAAGGAGGACCTGAGTAGGAAAAGAGGCATGTCTTGTATCAGAGGAGGACCTGAAGAAGTGCAGAGGACCTGACAACAGCCAAAGGAGGACCAGAGGAGTGTTCTGAACCAGAATAGGAGCAGAGGAGGAGCAGAGAATCAGAGGAGGAACAGAGGAGTGCCTTGGACCAGAGGAGGTCAACAGAAGGGTCAAAGGAGGAGCAAAAGAAGAACAAAGGAGGACTAAAGACATGTCCTGGACCAGATGAGTATCCAGGTTCAGAGAAGGGTCCTATCTTGTGATCAGCCCTGCTCCTCCAGCCTCTGTTGTTCTAGCTTCACTCTCTCAGATAGCATCGATTCCTTTGAACACTAGTTGTGGTCACTTCTCTCCTCGTGTCTTCAAGCCTCTTGGGTCATAAAATGCAGATTGACCGATAAGCAGCACTGGACTCTCACTGTGAACTGTCACTGGAGCCAACATTACCCAGACTCAGCTGTGCCACCAACATAAACGTGACTCTGTGTTACTTTTATTTTTAATATGTTCATGTCTTCATTTTTACAGTTTTCATTACCATTCATGGGGACATTAAATTGAGCGTCTCTCGTAGCTCTGTGATTCAGAAGGAGTAAGCAGACACAAACAGTCGGTCAGTCTGCAACATGCCGAAGGGCAAATGCGTATTTAACAATGACTTGCACCAGAAATTCTCCGTTTTCTGTCCTGGTCGGGACAAGTTGGAGGCCATGTGCACAGGTTTGCGACGTGAGAGTAGCTCAATGTGGAGGCCCCACCCCCAGTAAGGTGTTCAGGTTTTCACAAACTGAAATGTGGTCACCCTAATCCTAATAATAAACACTTTTCACAACGCAGAGTGGAGTTTTGTTATGACGGTAAAGCTAACAACAACTATCATTCTAACACGCAGTTCCTGCTTATCTGACAACACATTATAATTATTATTATATAATTATAACTGGTGATTGGTGTTACGAATTAACCTCGACTATAAACACTGTGACAGCTGCATCAGATCAGTGACACCTCTGTCCCTATTCAAATAAACAATAAATACACACATACATAAATGCAGACAGAATGTAGCATACACATGTAGTCCTCAAGAGCTGCTTATACAAACCATCTGTACTGAGCCATGTAGCTCAAATACATGGAACAAAAATCAGATACAGATACTTTAACCATAGTCACTACTTGTGGCCTTTAACAATGTGACCTTGTGTTTTGTGTATTATAAAGATAAGATAAGATAATCCTTTATTGTCTTCCATGGGAGAAATTTGTCTTGGGACAGGGGGTAACGTGCTTTATTAAAAAACAGGACAACACAACACAAAGCACCACATAAACAAACACCATAAAACAAAGTAAACATGAGACCAAGTATGACCACAAGTGATGCACCAACAGGCCCTTTAAATTATTCTTAACAGACAAGCCCTTGCATTCATGTATTCTATTAATTATTGCACATTCCCTTAGCCTATGTGCAGTTTTGATTGCACATTCCCTAAGTGTTTTATAATTATTTTTTAACTGCACTATCTGAGTTTAGCAGTTTAACAGCTAATGGCACAAAAGAATGTTTGAATCTGTTCAGTTTACAGTTTGGGACCCTGTACCTTCTGCCTGATGGCATCAACTCAAACTGACTGTGAAGAACATGAGTTGGAAAGAAAAGTGTATTTAGGCTGTAATACTTCATTGTCATTGTATCAGTTGTTAAACCATTCTGATAAATGGTCAGAAACCACTCTATGATCATTCCTCCTTACATTGTTATAAATGTTTTAAATCACTTTCTAAGACATGAAGTGTTCAGCTTTGGTTCAGTGGCTGCAGTTACATCCAGACTCAAACTCTGACTGTGAAGATTTCAACAGCAGCAGTGTCTCATTTCTTTCTGCCTCTCTGATCAGTCACATCAGATTTTGTGCTTTGTGTGTCATTGAAATAATCTGAATGGTCCAGAAATCTGAGAATAATCATTGTTTGTGTGCTTGTGAACATAGCCAGTGCCTGGTGTAATAGCATAAGCCAAACATTTGTGTTGAAGCGTGCGGCTTTGTCTTCTGTGATAAGTCCACATGAGACATGTCCTGGGCGTCACTGGACCTTCCTCTGTAGTGCATGTTGTAAACTCGTATCAGAGCTTTGGCTTTGAACATTGTCCCATCAGTTAAGAACCTAAAAGCTTCACCGCAGACCTGATGTCCCCCATGTCCAGACTGTCCATGTCCTCTCCCTGTCCAGATTTTCTTTCGTGAGACAGAAGATATTAAGAATGACTCAACTGTGGTAGCTAAATGTAAAGAGTAACAAAAATATTTCTTTACTATGAACTTCCATCATAGTCGCAGGGGCAAACTGTCAGGAGCCGTGAACCCACCTCCAGATGTTTTTTATTTATTTATTTATTTTGCACATATAACATGACAATAAAAAGAAACTGACTACATAAAAAGTAGGTGCCGGAAGAGGCAAAAAAAAACTGTAGGGCTTATATTAAAGTTGTTGAGCCAGCCTTGGTCAGGACGAACTTAGCTGCAGGATTTGACCTATAGTATATGTTTTGGGTTGATGAGGGAAAGTCAAGGACCTGGAGGAAACCCACCCAGACAAAAGGAGAACAAAGTCCATACAGAAAGACCCGGGTGACCTGTGAGGCAAGAGTGCCAGCCCCGCAGCCACTGCGATGCCATATTTTATTATCTTGGTTCTTATACGCTGTAGATTAAAGTAAGAGTAAAGTACACTTCATTGTCCTACTAAGATCATTTTTTACCCATACTTCAGTGTTAGGAGTGAGATGTGAAAATGGTGGAGTTTTGTTGAGAAGCATGTGCTGGATGTACTGAAGATGGTTTGTCATAAAATAGTGGTGCATTATTTGGTGCATTTAGTTGGCTGTAGGTTGTTTTTTTGTTTTGTTTTTTTCATGTTGTTTTATTCATTTTTAAATTGAAAAATCACAAAAGATGAGTAAAAATGCATATTTTACTTTAGCCCTAGAATGTAATTGTAACAAGGTGGTCATGGGTAATCTAATTTTACATCGCTGTGCGTCCATGAATGCAGTGCTGTGCATGACACACTCATGTTACTGATTGGAAGCTAGAAAAAAGTAGTGCACGCCTCAGTGTTGTTGTCAGGCCTTTATGTAGCTGTATGCAATGTGCATAAGTAGTACAGTTCTAATGTTCTCACATAGTGAAAACCTTTTCTAAAGTGTTGCATGATAACTGGGTTAAGGGTGTTGTATGGAGTTGGCGGTGGTGACGGCAGTCGCTTCAGTCGTGCTTCAAGCCCCATGTAAGGTGTAATCCTCTAAGTCAGGGGTGTCCAAACTTTTTTCATCAAGGGCCACATATCTAAACACAGATGAAGCAGAGGGCCGATCGAGGGCCGTAGACTGATGCTCAGTACAATGAATAATTAAAATATGTGCATGTTTAACATGTTAGAATGAGCCATCAGTCTTTATTCATGCTAAGATCCTCAAAACCAAACACTAAAAATGAAATATTGGCTTTATCAAGGTTGATTTTCCAACAACGTGCAGTAAAAAGTTATGCTTTAATTGATGCAATGTAATTTGGGCCAATTCTCCGGGAAGCCTGAGGGCCAAGAAAAATTTGTCTGAGGGCCGCATTTGGCCCCCGGGCCATAGATTGGACATGCCTGCTCTAAGTTCTACATAAATACCTTTTTGTTGTGTGCCTGGGGGTGGTAGTTAATGGTCTTCCTGATGTTCGTTTCCTGTGTTCCTGTTCTACTGGTCTGTTCTTATTCTCAGTGTTAGATATTATTGGATGAACGCTGTGGGATACAAGGGTCTTGTGGTGATTTGGAGTGAAGCTCCATATATGTCCAGGTTCACACTGTAATACAAGCTTAGGCCTCAGGGTTTTTGTGTTTAGTTAAGTTTTGGTCAAATTCTACATTTTTGAAGGCTAATTTGATGATTGTTGGGTTAATTAGGTTTTTTTTTATTTGTGTGCCTGGAAAAAATGAAATAACTTTTAAATATCTAGAATATTAAATAAAGCTGTGTAACCTTTTTAGACCACATTGCCCTTGTCCTTTTTTTTTTTTCCAAATTGTGTAAATAATTAACAATAAGGCAGGATTTACACTGTTTACCCTCCTGCTTCTTCACACTCAGTGATCATGTGTGTGCTAACAGCTGTCTCTGCGTCCAGGTGAGAAGAGGAGGGGAGCAAAGGGCCATGAGCAAAGCCACGTTCACTGGACAGCACCCAAGGGAGCTCTGTCTGACCAACCAGCACCCAGAGAGAGGACAGCAAGGTAAGATGAGCTGTTTAGACCTCACGACAATTCATTTCCCAAAAACAGGGACTCAGAAACATCTTATTTAAGGAGAAAAATAACATGTGTCTGTGTTTGATCCTAAAGAGAGAGAGATACTTTATTGATCCCAAGAGAAATTCAAGCTTTGCAGCAACATTTCCACTTCACGTCTCAGTTAAAGGTCTCAGTGCAGTTTAGAGCAAAAAAGTGTCTCTTCTCTTTGTCCTGCAGCATCACAGCAGTGTCCAGGCAGAGCAGTAAACACAAGTGGGAAGGCCTGGCTCTTACTCCACTCTGGTGTTTGAGTTGGTGATGAAATGGTACGCCTGTCCAGCCAAAAAGAAATGCTCTCACAAAACTGTACAAAGTTGATGGTGTCTCCTCGATTTCAGGCCCAAGTGACTGACAGGCTGACATGGCGGCTTATACCTACACAAAAAAGCTACACTAAAAGATAGTACAGATTTCTTCAGAATCAACAATCAAAGCACAAAACTGTTATATTTCTCAGGTAAAAGATGTGAAATATTTTGTTTTCACTTCTGATGTCTTCTACGGAGGATTTTCACGACCTTGTGGTCCGGTTCCAGTCTCTTCTGGATCAGAGCAGAATTCAGAAGGGACTGGCTGCTCAGAAAACTATCAACCTACAAAACCAATGCCATTGTACACCCAGCTTGCACCTGCTACACCTTCTAATGTGGACATTTGGGTTGTCAAACGTATTGGAAATTAAATACTAATTGATATTAATATTATCGAAATTAGAACTACTGTGGCATTGAAATCATCGAGTCTATTCCTTTGGCTCAAAATTGAGTTTAAACTTTTATAATTTTAGCCCGGAAAAGTGGAAGAAAATGAATGGATGGAGTGTCATGACAACTAGAGGTGTTAACGGTTGTCAAAAATCAATCAAATGTTCTCAAGTAAGCAGCAAATGTGTAAAATATTATAAAAATAAATTCCTTGTAAACAATAAACAATACTTTTCAAAAAGTAAAGCGCAGCACTAATAGTCAAGGTGTGGGGGGCAGTTGTTGTCAAGGAGGCCGCCCTAACTATAAAGCGCTGTGGGAAACCCTGCCCAATCACGGATGTTCCTCCTAAATATTAAAGAGCCGAGCCTCCCTGTAGCTGCACATGTAGTAGAGGAATGTAAACATTCAACAATTGCACGAACTGAATGACACGTACCGAAACAGTTTGGCACTACTACATGTACCGTTCCTCCACTAATGACAACGCGAATAGTCATAACTCCGTCATAACCCCACACTAACAGCCGCAGAACTAGAATGTGTCACAAATTTCTGAAGGTTTTTATTGTCCGATTCCAGACCCTTCTGCTCTTAGGATCATGTTTTACTGAGATGTTTTATTATCCTCAAAGATCAGGAAGCAAAACTCATTGTGAATGTTGTGAAAAGTGCTTATAACCTCATCACCGTTTAAGCTTTATAATAATATTGTTAGCTCCTCAAAAAAAGGCCTGGAGTTGTATTTTGTTTTATTCACATATGTTATGTAATGTGAGTAATTATTAGTCTGTCTACATCTCCAAATGCTCTGATCCACCTTATGATGTCATGAAGTAGTAGTTTTCTAGTTTACACCTTTTACCTCTTTTTGAGTTCAGTTTGGGAGTTCCAGGTCTGTAATTATCCAAATGATCCTAATGAAGATGTATTGAGTTTAAAAACACAATAGAGTATTTTCTGCATTAGCACATCATAATGTGGAACAGAGTGTTTTCTGTTTGAGAGAATAACTTCAGAAGGTTTCAGTTTAGAAGACAGTAAAAATCAGCTGCAGTGCTGCTGTTCAGATATCCACTGGTTTAACGCTAGACTAAGTTCACATTCTGTGGTGTGTGAAATCACCTCTGTCCCTCAGTGAAAGTATGTAGGAAGTTTCCATAATGTATTTACACTGTTGACACGTGCGATAACCCAGGTAAGGACGTCGCTATTTCAGACCAAAATACACTTGTTATGTGTAAACTACTGTAGCCTAGCAACTGTGCATATCTCCATGTCATAAACAGCGTCTGGAGATTTTTCATATCTTATTTTAAACTAGGGTCTTCCCAAAACACTCCGCCTCCTCCTCTGTGGTGGTGCACTCTGTAGTGAAAAACAGTTCCTTTGATCCACTGCAGAGTGTAAATAATGTAGTAATAGTTTCCAGTGTGTGCCCGTGTCCAGCCTGCCCACAGAGACCCAGCCACTTACAAGTGAATGTAAGGAACTGGTGCCAAAAGTGAAAATACACAAATTAGAAATGTCCGAAGGAAATAAGCTGTTTGAAGTTGCTCTTAAACAGCTTTTCAGGGCCTAAAAATGCATTACAGCCTATAAAAAATCCAAATACTTATAACTCATACAAGAGACAGAGAGAAAGAGAGAGGGAGGGAGAGAGGAGAGAGATACTTTTTTGAACCCAAGGGAAATTCAAGTTTTGCTGCCATAACATTTTCACAGCTCGTCCCAGCGGCCTTTGTGCCTCAGTCAAAGGTCTCAGTGCAGCGTGGCACGAGATCTCGTCCCATCCCTTTCCCTCCTCTTCATTTTGATTAAGTTAATCAGTGTATAATTTAAGGATTAAAGGAATATAATTTGCTTACTCTGAATAAAACAGGAATTAAAGAGTGTACTTTATAAAACTGGTCACTGTCACTTTAAAAAATAACATTTACCCTACATGTGTAGAGTGACCAGACGTTCCTTTTTCCCCGGGACAGTCCCAGTTTTGAGCCGTGTGTCCCTTGTCCTAGTGGATTTATACAAAACCACTGCTTTGTCTCAGTTTTATATAAGGTGTTTTTTTTTTTTTTTGGTAATAATACAATTGTGAAACAAGTGCATAATTAAATAAAATCATTATGCACTTGGCCCATTCGTGACTTGTTCTAACATGTGAGTCAGTATAGTCATATTTTATTTGTGTTTTCCGTAATTTTACCTAAACAAAAACCTATAACCAAAAAAACTAGACAATTTATGCCTCTCTTTACTGTTGGCAGGGATAAAACAAGTTTGTATTTTGGAACAATGGCAATAAAACTGATGTGTTCAGATAAAAAGCTGCAGGAGCCACTGTAGCTGTTTCCAGTATAACATGTTTGTTTCTTGCACTTGACCTGACAATATGATTGACTTTTCTAAACTTTTTGGCCTATTCTACAGTCTGGTTTGCTTCATATGCATTAACCAGCATTGGGCATATCTTGTTTAGTGTCAGGGTTAGGATTTGTTGAGTATTTGTGACAGTCGGTGTTAACCCTCTCCAGGCAGGCGTTGCAGATTTGCAACAGCTAAATTCCAATTACCTACTTACTCCACATCCATATTTTATGAGCTTTTTTTACTCAGGAGCCTTTTCTCCCATCCATGCTGATAAATGTGGACGATGCAGACTGTGCAAAGAATGACTACACGCAAACGGCCTGCCAGAACTGCAAAATACTTTTTTTGTTCACAAAGGATAAAAAAGTCAGGATTGTGTATTACTACCCCATATTATAATTTTCCTCAAATATCAGATTTTTCCTGATACTAAAAATTAATTTGAGCCTGAGAGGGTTAAGGGGCTCTCTGCTGCTGTCAGGCTCATCTTTTTGGTCTTAAATGTTCATATTCTCTACATGATCCAGGTGTTTTTCTATTTTGTCCATAAATCAATTCTTAATTCTAGTATGAAACTCAGCTCCAAATTCTGCTAGCCTCATGAGCTTCATTTGACCTGAGCCAAGCGATGTTGGTAACATCATGTTCACTTAGTCCTTTTCTTTATACCGTCTATAGCAGTGGTCTCGAGCCTTTTTTGAACCACAAACCGCTTTTTTATTCAGCAATATTTCGCGGAATTTGGGGGGGGTGTATGGGAGGAGGCGCGGTGCACGGTCTGAGCAGCATGGTTAAGTCCTGGTTTAGACCTGGTTTAGACCTGGTATTATAGTTCTGGTTTAGTTCTGGTTTAAAGGCGAGTACGGGAGGAGGCACTGTTCACGCAACTCTTAACTTATCTTCCATGAGGATGTTATAGCTTAGGAGTGTGGCATCAAACATATTTGTCTTGCAGGTATTTATGTATTTACACTGTAAAAACTGTGTACAAAATTTAAAATGTTTTTACTTTTCAAAACTGTAGTGGAGCAGAAAATACTGTCTCAAATGTAATGAAGTAAAAGTAAAAAATACTTTAAAATGCACTCAAGTAAAATACAGCAGTCTAAAGTGTCTACTTAAGTACATGACTTGACTAGATGAAAGATGAAGGAAAAACATAAAGAAAAGCGGAGAAACGTTATGCTCTTCACAGTATCGCTGGCAGCACCAGTCACTTTTGACAAATCAGATTTTATGGAAATTGTTAAATGAGTTATAAAGTATCTGTAATAAATACAGTGAATATGTGAAGAAGGCCAAATATAGCACACAACATGGGCACACCTGTACAAATGGATGAGAGAGGAGCAGGGCCGGTGTGCGGGCGCCTACCACCATTACACCTCTAATGTACAATAATACTATTTATCCATGATGAAAGATGTCCTCATGTGGGAGAAACTGAGGAGAGGATTAGTGGTAAAAATCAAAGACAAATTACTGAGGATTCTCTATATCAATACTACTGTAGATTTGTAAAATAAAGACATTTCTAACACAAAATCACAGTCATTACATTTAGATTTTCCAGGGTAAGTAGAAAAAAATCTGACATTGTCTTATTTCCAAAAGGTGAGCTTTATTTGCACAAGCAATGTTTAATTTCATTTAGATAGAATTTTGACATTGCATGATATTCAGGGGTTCCAGTTCGTTCCTTTTCCAGAACGGCTTTTATGTGTAAAATTCTTTATGTTTTAGGTTGAGGGTGAAACAAACACATACACAGAGAAAATGTTTCAACTTCATGCAGATTGTAATAATAATACACTTGTAATGTACTTAACAGGCCTGTCAAAGCGCCTCCAAGTGCTCCACTGTGTCATT